AGTTTCTTACTTGTCTGGAGTAATGTGGTGGTGCTCCATCTTGTTGGAATACAATATCCATATCGAATTCATTAGGATTCGCTTCGACGATTTCAGTGATGATAGGGTCAGCAGTAGTTTCCAGCATATTCAAATACAGTTTCCCTGTTGAATTTTGAACAATGAATAGAGGTCATACAATATGGTTTTCCAATATTCTTGCCCAAACGTTAATTTTTCCTGGATATTGGGTATGTGTTTCCCGGAAAACGTAAGGGTTGGTGTCATTCCAATAACGGCAATTTTGTCTGTGAACATTGCCGTTTAAAAAAATGTACATTCGTCACTAAAACAAATATTGTGGAGATAGGTAGGATGCCTTGCAATGGTTTCCATCATGATCTCGCATAATTTTGTTCTACGGTCCGAGTCATCGTCAGTTAATTGGTCTACCATTTTAATTTTTCAATATTTAATTCTACAAAAAGGATTTGAAGCTTTATATCTTCTATTAATTATCTGCGAGCGCTTTCGACAGTTGGTAGTACTGTCATCATCTGGCACTCCTCAAACTGATTGTATGGATGATACCTATTCCTCTTCAAAAGTATCCACACAGTAGAAGGAGACACGTCACAAACATTTGCGAAGGAATAAGTAGACTGTTCAGGATTTACTACCATCCCACCAATTATTTGTACTTGCTCTTCTTCCGGAATGGACGGATGACCTGGGGGCTTTTTGTTATGTATACTACCGGTAGTTGTGAATTTGGATACAAGTTCCCACAAATATTTTCTACGGAAAACTTTCAATGAAAAAAATCCTTTCGGTCTTGTGAAAGTTACGCGTCGCACCGTCAATAAAAATCGCTTAAATTTTTTCTTTCAATGAACGAGAATTGACTATTTTAGGGATTGTTAACGTGGTACCTTTCTACTAGTAAAACCGAAAACTAAATGAGAATATTCTGACTGAACAATGATGTTCATTGTCGTACTGAAGTATTCGACAAGAGCTTCAAGTTTCATTTGTCAATTAGTTATTCAAAATAAAGTATTCATGCAATAATTTCATTATTCCAAATTTCAATTTTTTAAGTTGACCTGTTCAAAAAATGAAGGGGGGAGAGGACTTAAAAAAATGCACTATATAAGTATCATTCGAATTGAAAGTCATAATTTTTGGTCTTCAATGGGTCTTCAACCAATTAGGTCGACCGCCGTGTCTTTATACTGTGGCGTACTATCGAACGCATCATGAAAATATCTAGGTTTGCAATTTTTTTGAGTGCATTCGGGCATAAAAATGGAGAATTTTGAAATTCGAGAATGGTCAGAATTCCCAAATGAGACGGAAACTTTAATACGTGTAAACCCCCATTCATCAAGCAGAAAATTTTTGAGTAGTTTCAATATCATAAATTAAGGCTTCTATGATAAACTTTATCTCCCAACTTCTCTTCAATTTTTATGAAGCCCTATTTCAGAAAGCTGACCATTTCTTTCAAAATTCATGCAAATGACATCAACCTTGTGTTTTTTATTTGTGACCTTCAGCAAATGAAAAATACTCACCTCAAAATTACTATGACGCCGTCAAAGACATTGAACCCATTCGAAATATATCCAAAAGGTCCTTCTGAAACCACTTTGAGAACCATTTCCACGGCGAATATCGCGGAAAAAATTACATTCGTGACTTCAACGACATGCGTCAGTATCTCGGATTGCTTATGATGTTCAATGCCCATCGATAAAGTATTTATCAGAATTGCTAATAGAATACCATTCTGAAAAAGCTTGTGTTCGACGAGCACTTTGATACACCTCCTGAGCATTTTAAAAGATTTGACCATCCCCTTCATGACGAGACAGCAGGCGATGTAAAATTGCGAGCGTTTCTCGTTCTTGTACTCCGACTCGCAATGCCACAGTTCTTGACAGCAGGAATAATCGTCCTCCGGTATCTGCTGAATGTACATTTCCTCTCCGGTCTTCTGCCTGTTGTTGATACCCTTAGAGAGTGAGCTGAAGAACGTATCCAAAACTATTTGCCCCGTCGGCAGTGCAGCATTGATGGCCCCTAGAGCGAGAAGTTCTTGACAGGTGAGTGCCTCTCCATTCATTAGCTCGTTGCAGTCTTGTTGGATTTGTTGCTGAGTTTGAAGGATTTGTTGCTGGCTCGGCACGGATGTTATTTGCCAGATGTTTCCGTCGCCTATAAAATGAAGGTTTGAGTTGTAGTTTGAATACTCCGATCGTTTATTGATTGAGGAAATTGTTTCTATAGGTTCCGTTTTTCATTATTCTAAAAAGCCGCAATTTAATTAATTCTAGGAAAGGTTTGTTTTGGAAAGAACCTAATTAATTTCAGAATGAATAAATACAGTTACACAACCAAATGCTATATTCAAAGAATAATTCCATTAATTACATTCTACATACATTGGGGTGAAAATTCCTCATTTCTTTTCTATATGCTTATTTATCTACGCTATATAAAGAACGTACCTGCATATTTCAAAATTCTAGGTTAATTTGCTTCGGCTGTATGTTAATATAAGAGTATCAGTCAATCAATAGGTGTCCACAAAAACAATACTGAATAGCATGAGCAAAAAAACTGAAAGTATCAGAATGAAATACACTGGTAATCCTACTAATCCTACCCCTACTAATATTATAAATGCCTAAAGTTTGTGAGGATGGATGAATGTAATGTATGTATTTACGTTTTCTACTTTTTCACGCCTAAACAGATCAATGGAATCAAATGTGAGTTTATAGATAGATCATGACCTGGAATACCACATAGGGTAGGTTCCTGCAGTAACGCGGGTAAAACATGGAACAGCTAGTAGTGTATAAGTGGGTACCTATTGATTGACTGACACTCATATATTGACTTACAACCGAAGCTTTTGAACATAGAATCTTGAAATATGCAGGTAGGTTGTAAAATGTGCCTTGTTGAAAAAAGTATCCAATTTGATTGTATTTATGGCTCAGATTTTTTTGCGTGTAGTGGGTACCACATAAGACATAGACATATGCTATCGCGGACTTTTATTTAGAACGATTTAAGATAAACAATCTTACAGTACGATGAAGCAAACATTTTCGTTGGACCAGGACCTATCATTGGCATCGCTTTAGGCTCTGCCAAACAGAGATTGAAGACCTGGATTGCAAGAAGATTTATGGATTTCTGGCAGAATCTCCCAGGGTTGGCTCATTCCAAGGAGTTTATTCACCCTTTGAAGCTTAATACCAAACAGTTGTTGGACTACAGTAGTGATGAACTAAGATGTCTAACAGGCCCTCTTACAGGTCACTGTCATTTGAGTCGGACTGTCGGAAGACAGTGTGTGTCGCCTCTGTTCAGAAAATGACGAAACAGCAGAGCACATACTTTGTGCTTGCTCCGCTGGGGACCGTATTTAGAGTTCGGCAGAGTCGTACATTTACCATCCGATTCGAAAGACCACTCATCATGCAAACTAATCGGCTTCGTTAAGAAGCTGGATTTATTTGGTCGAGTGTGAATAGGTGTGAGCCACAATATACCCTTGCGGGTTGCGGTGGAGGGTCGAATAGACCCACTCACTTTGGACCTAACCTAACCCAACATTATCTTCATGTAACTTCAACGGTATAGGCAGCGCACGTCAGGTAGCAAGAAATTTTCTGACTTACTTGATACTTATCGTTATATTATGAGCAAAATCACACAAACCTCTGTAAATTGTAGCCTTTATGTTATTATGATGTATAAGCTGTATTTATGTAAAGTTTCATCTGAATCCTTTCAGTCGTTTAGGCGTGAAAGGGCCACAAATATACATACATACATTTATCCATCCGCACAAACTTTTACATTAAAAATAGTAGTATAGTATATAGGTTGATTAAGTAGGAAAAAATAAGAGGTGTTGAAGAGGGATGCCAGAAAAATCATGAAATTGTCTGAAGTTCTTTGTGCATTTTGAAAGTAAATTCAATGGTATTATATATCTACATCATATCAAATCAGTGGAAAATGTCAGACCAAAACTAATTGTCATCCAGGAGCGAATTCGTCGAATAGGGTTCAATAACTATAAAAGTTTTGAATACACTAAAATATAGGGTACCAAATGGCACCAATATATTGTTGTAAATCATGCCCCAAAGAAAATTTCGCCAGCTACCACTGGTAGTCATAAACCAATCGTGACGTAGCTAAGAGCGTGCGAATGTACGATGTTCCGTGCCGCTCTAGAAGCAGCGAGAATAATGCTACCGATTTCGATGGAACTTCGGCGAAATTTCTACTGCACTCGATTACGAACGCTAGCCTCGAGCATATCGACACAGTCAAGTGTACGTTACAGTGCGGTACGCGAAGTGATTTAGTAAGGCGATAGATATTCAAATAATAGTTGAATTTTAGTTGAGATGTTTGTTGTATTTAAAGTGGAATAAAGTTAAATTTGATTATTCAGTGTAGTCAATTATTGATTAACCCACGGGGAAAAACATAACAATATGTTAAAATAATGTTTTCACATGAAACATCATATATTACAAACAGGGAAAAATTTCGGGATTGGTAAAGATCCAGAGTAGTTGATTTATAGGAAAACCTCAGAGAACATGTATTGTAGATAGAAAAAAAATGCCAATGAGTAACTTTCGTAGCAGGTGAGGGAGCGTCTGAGGAAATCGTCGGTGGCTTAGGTTCCCTCGCTTACGATAGTCTAGATTCGCCAAAAACCAGAAATATAAAACGACTAGTAGAGGTCTGCCTAGTAGACAGATCACAGTTCACAATTGGCTGTGGTATTCACAGAAATCTATTCGGATCATTGGTATATACATTTCGGAATTGTAAGATCTCATACCTCGAATAAATCTAATTAAAATCCCTGAAAAATTATCTGTGAAGCCTACAAGGCATACATGGAAATTCGCTTAAACCAAATGAGATGGAAATAAGGATTCCAAAGTCTTAGAGTTGGTATCAGATATCAACGACCATTTTTTATAATCTACCAGAGATCTAACGGAAATTCTCTCTGCTCGAGAGTCTTGCACAGAGAAAGCAACATACGAGAGAAAAAAGGGAAATCGGTTATAAGGGACCAATACTGAAGATCCGGACAAACTCAAGTATCTACTGAACTCTGAAGCTCAGTTCTCAATGAATAATCTGAAAAAAGCAACAGGAAGTAGACAAAAATAGGAGAAGATACTATAAGAAAGTTCGCCTGGGTCTAATATTCAAAGTGCAACACTGAAGTCCTAGACACATTCAGAACTAGAAACCGCTGAAGGGCTTGAAGAAGTGGTTGGTGGTACATTTGGGTAAAATCATATCAGTCTTTTCTGTGAAGTGAGGGCGCATTCGATATACTGTCAGTACTCATTAAGAATCAATATTTCAGATATTGAGGAGGAGGGAGATCGACGGAACAAGCTCTAAGAGGATAGACTAAACGCTTAGAGAATCAGTAGTGGCACAGGTAGCAAGGAACATTCTTCAGGTTGAACCTATTCCTACTGTTATGGAACCTAATGATAGACGAGTTACTATGTCTTCTGGACAATAGTTGTTATACAGTACTGGGTTATGCAGGCGACTCAGTGTGAGACTAATATAATGTAGTGAAGGGATGCTTGTAGTCTTTGACTATAATAACAATATGCACTGAATTAGGAGGGGTTCCGATACGTCCATCCAAATTGAACAAAGTATCGTTCACCAAGAGGACTGAGATAGAGATACCTGTATGATTGCAACTAAGATTATTGGGGATGCTGATTATCTAGGAGTGATACTGAATCACATGCATCTCTGGTTTGGGATAATTGGGACTGTTATCAATAAACATGGTAGGCGTAGCCTTGCTTGTTCAGAAATGAAGAAAGTAATGAGAACCACAATAAAAATATTGGAGACTCTTCTACATTTATCCCCTTCACATCTTGTGGCAACGGGGTAGGAAAGAATGGGCCAATTCAGAGTAAAAATTGACCGAGCTATGAGAGATTGGTCAAAATTTAAATTTTGTGATATGTAGAAAAACAATATGGAACACATTCACAGACCATATGACTTTGAAGTTAACTTTTGACTCAAATTTCATTGTGAATATAAGAAATCGTGAAGAATGGATGATCCCGATATCATGCTTGGTAGAAAATGGATCGAAAAACGAACATGAAAACGGTACTAGAATGTAATATGCCGAAATTTAGAATACGGTTAACTGCTCGTTCAATTCATATTAGTTTTCCTAGCAAAAAAGCACAAGAAATATTCATTAATTTGAGGCCTGAACGAAATGGGCGTTTCAATATTCTTGGAGAAATTGATACGCTTATGCAGATTGGCTGCGCAATGGGCTTGATGAATCCAAGAATGGAAAAGAAGAGACTTTATGGAACTGCCGCGAAGAACTGAAAAAATGGGTGAGTTGAAAAAAATATAATTCATGCTGGGTTGCTTAGACACTAAAAATGAGTTGGTAAGAAACATAAATCTTCAAGTACGATTCATCTGGGATAAACCTTTAAGAAGAGATGCGAAAAGAATTGAAAAACCGCTTCAANAACTGATTAGTATAGGGTTTTTCTACTTCTGTAAATATTTTGTATTTTTAAAAAATCACTCTTCAACAACTTTCTTTCCTAACATGCTTTGTCGATGAGAACTTGATTTCTTGGACAATAAAGTATATTTATCTCTCTATAAAGGCAAACATCCAACAAAGTACACAACTATTGAAGGAAACGAGATTGGAGAGGAAATGACATCAACCTATGAGCCTGCAGTGTTATTCGAAGTGAATATGTACGATTTCAAAATACTCAGTACAATATCGCGTTTTTCATTTTATAACAATGGATATCTCGAGAAAAATTAGATTGGATTTGATAATCATTCAAAGTTTAACAATTCTGAAATCTTTCAAATCTTTTGAAGTAATAATTTTGCTTCAAATTCCTTCGTAGACTTTTTAAAATAATACTACAACCCTGTTTGCTACACGAAATCATGAGGATATGAGGGAACTAGCGGAATATTATCTTGTTCATATTTCATAGAAAAGGTTCGTCCGCGTGAATAAACGACTTTTACCGTTTTAAACAACTTCAGTCGACTTTTATTTTGTATCTCCTAGACTTCCATTATACTTTCGGACTGTCCGTAATTTATAACGTAACTTCCCTTAT